ACTTGAGTTGGGTTTTTTTTAAAAAATAAATATTTGTGTAATGTTAAAAAAAAAAAAAAAAAAAAGTATGTTCAATGTCGTATGAATGTGCATAGTATGAATGCAATCTGGATGTAGGTACTATAGTCGCCATGTTGTCATTACCATGGGATTTACCAGCATTAGTTGTGTCACTGCCATTCACAAATCCTCTCCTGTGGCCTCATGGGATAGTAAAGTGTCCATCGTATGCACACCTCAGAATATTCTGGAAGTATTAGGTAATCCAGGTACTTTTTGCCTACTCTTTTATGAGTACTGTGAATTCAGACATACATCTTTTGTCACATACTGTTTTTGCCTATATCGTAGGGAAGTATGCGATTTTGGATTCAGCTGTGTCTTAACTAGTTTGACCAATAGCTGTTAGCCAAGAAGTAATCGTGTTACTTTTTTGATTCAAATTCGGCCAATCAACCTTTTTGTAACTGACTTAAAAAAGTTATGACCAGTCTTGAAGAAAAAAATGTGATTACTTATTTTTTAAGACAAGTTTAAGCAGTTCATGCAACTGGCCTCATTACTAACTGTTGTTGTATCAGTGTAGTGAAGAAGATCACACAAATCTGACATTGTGCTCATTCAGTGTTTATTGTTCAAATGATCGGGCAACAGCAGGGCTGCATAGGACTGGATGATGGTCACCCAGTGTTGAGTACAGCATCTCAGACTGCAGGTGATCATGGAGGACAGGCTCAGGTGTGAAACTCATTCCTACATGAGACACAGACTGCTGACGTGCTCTTTCTGGAACAAGATAAGAGCAGATTTATACACACAATGATGAAGGTTGATCACATATGAGATGAAATTAACACCCTATAACAACATCAGTACATATGTGGGCACAATCAGGTTCATATAACACAAAAGTTCTGTCATGACACTCTAGATCAGTGGTCACCAACCTTTTTAGGCCCAAGAGCCCTGACTTCGGCCTTTATGAAAGACAAGATCTACCTATTGAAAAATTGATAGAAAAAGACATCCCAGATTGTACTTCAAATTTGAGGCCTTTTACTTTGTATTTTAATTAATGCGCCGGTCAGTGATGATTCAGAATTCAGATTTCGAAACTTTTCTCAAGACAGTTCCCTTCAGTGATACATTAATATAACCCCAGAAATGTAATGCATTTTTGTACTTATTTTACTGTTATTTTCGGGATCTACTGGGACAGTGATGAAGATCTACCAGTCGATCGCGATCGACGGGTTGGCGACCACTGCTCTAGATGATGCAGGCTAAATGGAGAATTGTCATGACAGAACTGAGGATGTTAAGGTTTACCAGTAAAACCAAGAACTGGTAATAAGCGTGGGAGATTTGTGACTCACTAATTTGCACTAAGGGAAGTTACTTAAATTAAAACATCGCTTGATATCTGATGAAATGTTGCTTGTATATTACTCAAGACACTTTTAACAGTCTTTTTTTTTTTTTAGCAAAAATGGATGTAAACAGTTTACGTTTCAGAATGACATTTAAATCAGAATAAACAAATCATTAGCATAAACACTGAGACTTACTGTAATGTTTATGTATGACTGGAGTGATCAAAAAGACAGTCAACACCACTGTCAACAGGACAAACACTACTGTCACAGTTACACCTACGAGACAGAATAATTGCAAAGGCCTCAAAAATACAGTATATAACACACTGAAATAAGAAATACGTAACAGCTCTAAACTTACCCCCAGTTTCGTAACAGACAGAACTTGATAAATTGGCCACGAGTGGTTTGTTTAAGGACGAGTGGTTTACCCAGCAAGAGTAGATTGTATCATTGAAGGTTTGTGGTGGTATTATAAGGTATGATTGCTGACTAAAGGATCCATTGAATGATTTGTTTGAGTATGAGCTGTTGAGGACGTCTCCGTCTCTGATCCACAACTGTTCAAGTGAATCGTGGTAAAATTCCACAGAGCACAGAATCATGGGAGATCCATCAGGCCTCTTCACACAGGACAGAGACAAGGCGGGATACACTGCAAATAGTGAAAGGATTCATACAAAATTATTATCAAAATAATATTATATATTACATTTTTTATAAAGAAATGATTTACCAATAACTTGAACTCTTTCTACGCCCAGATCCACTTGAGGTGGTTTTGCAGTCCTCCTCACAGTACAGATGTATATGCCGGTATCCTTAATACGGAGATTTAATAGCTCAAATGATATTTCCTCAGCCTCTGGAATCCATATGAATCTGATGTGATCTTTACAACTTTGTTTTTGCCATGAATTCAAATGTATGTATGAACACATGCGTGCATGATTTAATGCTTGTAAATCCACTGTCATGATTTCTGTGTCATCTGTTCGGCTGTAGTTGCATCTGATTTTGGCAGACTCTCCATGATTGACAAATAAAGTTGTAGTGTGATTCACTGCCACATTGCCAAACACTGAAAAACAAAGACAGCAACAACTTGAATTTCTCATGGCAAGCTGCGAATTGCCCATTTGGGTTCTCTTTGTACAGGTGCTTCCTGAGGAAGGCACAAAATGTATTTATGAAATATTTTACAACAAGAACTTGACATTTTTATGTTAGAGGAAATTTCATGTCTTCATATTGTTCAGATTGAAGCGTATTAGCATTAATGCCTAGAGATAGTGTGCAAATTTGGTTTGACAGTAGAGTTTGAAGCATATTAGTATTAATGTCAAAAAAGATAGAAGACATCTGTATTACCAAAAACGGAAAACAACAGCATCCACCCACAACAGATCAGACTTAAACACTGGGGGGAAAAAAGACACATTAAACAGAAATGTCATTTGAAATATACAATTTTAATCAAGATCTTATGTATTAAGTAATGCGATTCAGTGGTGCATATTTTGTATTGGTTAATTTAACACTGAAATTCAAGAAGCTTTTAGTTTATTAGTTAATTTAATGCACTTTTTTGTATACAGTAATAGCTGCAGTTTTTCTGACATAAGGACAAAGCAAAAGAAAGATCAAACATTTTCAACTTTCAACACATTATATTTACATTAAATCTAAAATAGCTTTCAGTTATCTTCAGAAGAATCATACACTCACCATCTCTCTTTCCAGGGAAAGCGCTGTGTGTGGCTTCTGCCTCACTGTTTTGCTGAAATGTCTTATTGAGGAAACTAGGTTGAGGCGATGATTTCCTCTTTAAGTAAACCATCAGTCATTAACAACTGACAGTAATACATCATCTGGATCCCATCAAATTCCTTGTATATTTCATTATACATTTTAAAAAGAGGAAATGACTAAAAACATTCTAACAGTGATGGACTGATTCGATACTAGACAAAAGTTAAAACAAAACAAATAAGAACCAAACAAAATCTTACACCCATGAGCATGATATGTAGAAGTATAAATTATTTTCATTTATTTATTTCAATTGATCCTACAGTTGCATGTTAGCTAGATGTGTGAGAAAAGATTTGCATCACATCTCTATATGTACTTGTCAACCACAAACACTTGGTGGGCAAGACTGGGAAATTTAGTTTCAGGCTTATGACGCACCATGTGTAACCTGTGAAAACAACTAGCATACGCATAGGAAAACAAGTTTACCAGTGCCTAGAGATGTGTGAGATAGTGGCAGTTTGGTTTGACAGTGGAGTTCAACAGGACACAGAGATAATGTAGTGTGACATTTTGGTTTGACATTTTATTTATTTAGAAGAAAATACATAAATTTAATTTGTAAATAAAACACAATTTTATTATTAGTCCAAAAGCTCCCACACAATGCTTAAACACAATGAAAGCACAGTTACCCCAAAATACTAATTGTAAGTGCCTTATTGTGGATTCTCAATTATAAACAATAGAGAAAATTTGCTTTACAATCATCACACATTGTGTATCAGCAAAACCCACTTTAGCACACTTTCGCCTACATGTTGCCTTTGCAACAACTGCAGGGCCTGTCTGGCATTAAAGCAAAGGTTATGTAAGCCGGAGTACTTTGTTTTTATAAAGACAAACTTCTGGCTGTGGATTAGTGTAGACATTATTACTGAACACTTAGTCTGTTCTCTTTCTGCCTACATAATCAAACAAACCTGTTTAATGTTAGCTTATTTCAGTTGTTAAGTAACTCCTACATTTTGGTGGCAATTAATGAGGCTTTCACAATGGCAGTTTAGTTCAAAACAGAACACGGTTTGCATGAAAAACTAGTGACGTGAAAGCTGTCACGCACACCGTGTGCACCATGATACCAAAATAGAGACGACCTGTAGGAGGTGGTCAGCTCAGCAAGTCGAATCTTGTTCAGGAAGAAAAGCAACATAATGATGTCATTAGTTCAACAAAACAACTGTGGAGGATGAGAGTGATGAATATTTCATAGAAGATTTGAGGTGCCGGGAACAAACACACTTGGATTAGGACAGCAGCAAATGTGCCCGTTGTGAATTGTTTGACGAATGTCCAACTAAAACATTCAAGATTTAAAAAAAAAAATTTTTATGTTCCACAAACAATGTGTAAATAGTGTTTTTGTACTCAAGTTTTGAGAAAGTTATTAAAGAGCAGACAACTTTAAAGGAAAATACTATTAAAAGTTACTGGAAAAAATGTTTGTTCACAGCTTTGAAAGAACCTTGCCAGAACATTAGCCAGATATCTGAGAACATTTCCTGTTAGCTGGACTTACACAGTTTTGTTTTTAGGTGTTGTTCTGAAAATATAAAATGTCTTCTTTAAGATTTTGACATCATGGTGAAAGAAAGCAGAAATAGACAAGGAAGGACACTGATGTATTTAGACGGAGAGGCGTTTGAAGGAAACAGTCATTATTTACACCAAATTCTTGACTTCTTTTTTTTAACTGCTGAACTATTTCTTAAATTGCATTATTCTAAAACGCATTAATGAAGTAAGACTCTACAAGGTAATTGTTAACTAAAGTTAACACATATGATTTTCGTCAGGCAGGGAAGTAATGATTTTTGGATTGGATTGTACCAGTATAACAGATGTACAGTGTAGCAATGCTCTGAAACAAAGGGATATACCCAATGTCCTGTAGACCTCATTTGCTGCCTCCACCAAAACCTCTCTTATAGATCAACATCTTTATGCTCTCATTGGGCAACTGCACTTAAAGAGATGAAGTGGTCTGGTTATTTTAACCACACCATGTGGGAGGTTGTAAAGATATGTTGAAGCAGGTGATGCATCAAAGCTTGATGTAGGTCATTGGTAAACATGCAAAGGCAGTACATGTAAAATAAATAAAGGTTTAATTACTTATGACCTCTACTGCCTGGGTTGCATACCTTTTTGCTGCACTTCATAAGGCTGTCATAGGAAGCTCTTTGAAAGCTATTTCCACATGATCATTTACATAGGGGCTATATATGAAGTTATAGCTACACTGTTTTTTAACATAGACATGATATTCAGAGAGCTCGATTATGAGTGCGATGTGGCTTTATTTCCGTTAACACAGAACGCATTTTTGCATTTAAAAATGCAAGAGGGAGGGCAGATGAATGGGGGGAGGGTGAAATGCAGCATATCAAAGTTTTTTAAAAGTTGATCTTCAGTTTGGCTAATTGAAACACTTTGTTTTTAGAACACTGTGTCATGCATGCGACCCTGCAAAAGTCTCAAGCGAGAAGTCTAATGCATGTTTACATAGAAATGCAACAGAAAAGCAGCATAGTGGAATGCAAAAACACGTTCTGTGTAAAATGGCCACTTGTAAAATTGTGCCAGGGTACTGAATGATTAAGATACACATTGATTTGAAAAACTATTATTGTAAATGTCTTCAGTCAGTCTTCAGTCAGTCATTTCTTGGCTGCACGGGACTGGATGATGGTCACAAGTTGAATAAAGTGTCTCAGACTGCAGGTGATCATGGAGTACTGGCTCAGATGTGACACTCACCACAGCAAACATTGGGTGCATCTCATTCAGCTCCCTAATTCATTAATTAGGGCACTGATCAAGCAGTTGGCCACTTCAGTGGGTTTTCAGTCGCAAAATCCTTCCAGTGCACCAATGCACGGTAAACCCAGGGAGTATCGATGCTCACTATGCTCTATACTGGGAATTATGACACGTGATAGATGATTTGACACATAGGCCTATGCACACATCACTAGACAGGTAGTGAACACATCTAGTTACATTTATAATTAATATTCGGCTGAAATGTTGTAAGGATATGTAACAATGGGACAGAGTTCATGCAGGACAGAGACAAGGCGGGACGCACTGTGAACGGTGGAAGGATTAATACACAAATGCAATATTACTACATAAATCATTCAGATCTACAGTATCTATCTATCTGTAATGTTTTTTTCTTCCTGATTATAAAGAAGTGATTTATCAACTCCACTTGAGGTGGTTTTACAATCCTCCTCAGTACAGGCGTATGTGCCGGTATCTTTCATTTGAAGATTTAAGAGCTCGAATGTTATTTCCTTAGTTTCTGGAATATATATTAATCTGCTGTGATCTTCACAATTTTGTTTGTTCCATGTATTCCCATGTAATAAATATGAACCCATGCGTGTATGATTTAATGTTTGCAGAACTGTCATGCTTTCTGTGTCGTCTGTTCGGCTGTAGTTGCATCTGATTTTGGCAGACACTCCATGATTGACAAATAAAGTTGTAGCATGATTCATTGCCAAACTGCCAAATGCTGGAAAACAAATACAGCAACAACTTGAATTTCTCAAGCCAAGCTATAAATTGTACATTTAGTTAGAATATATTTGTCATATTTTTCATAAATGTATCTTTTTTTTTTTTTTTTACTGAAAGCTGAAGACATGAAGTATCCACCAACAACAGATCAAAGAAAAACACTGAGGAAAAAAGAAAGAAAAAAGAGAAAAAATGAAAGTCACATAGGTTTGTAACAACATGAGGGTGAGTTAATGAAGACAGAATTTATGTTTTTGGTAGAACTATCCCTTTCGGTACTTTTTAAAATAGAGTGATATGAATAACTACTGTTTTAATATAACAACTAAAGCAAAAGATGCTTTCAAGTTGCATCATATTCATATTTATCTATAATTGTTTTCAAATAACTTTATATGAAACATACACTCACCATTTCTCTGTCCATGAAAAGTGTTGTGCGTTGCATCCTCCTCATGTGCTTTGCTTAAGTGTCTCATGCTGTGAAATGGGTTAAGGTGGTGATTTCCTCTTTAAGTAAAGCATTGATTATGAACAGTCGACAGTAACATATCTGAATCCCATCAAATACCTTTTTGTATTTATTAGACATTGTACAAAGAGGAAATTAATAGAAACATTCTAATAAATGACTGACTCATACATACTGTAAATACAAACATTGAATAAAATAAATAAGAACACAATCTAAATTTCCATTTAGACCAAATCAGAAACATTTCATTTCAGATTTGTGAGGCACCCATGTACTAAAAGGAGCAAAGTTTGTAAATATATACTGTACATTTTCACTAAATAAACCATAGGCATGTACTCACAATAGAAGATAACTTTGCCCCAACTATGGCCATTATAAAGTGATATAGTGATTTTTGCATTTTTCATTGTAACCCAAAGTTGACCAGAGGACAGATGTGAATAAGTGTGAAATTATTTTCTGCAGTTTAGTTTGACAGCAGAGAGGCTTTGACACAAAAGACATACAATGTGTGATTTATTTACAAGTAATGAAATATTACAGTATAATTAGCCCCATACAAAAAAGAAAATTCATACAACAAAAAGTGCACTCTAAAAAATGCTGGGTTGTTTCAACCCAATGTTGGGTCAAATATGGACTAACCCAACTGTTGGGTTAAATTTTGGTTACATTTTTAAATGAGCTTTTTAACCCAACAGTTGGGTTAGTCCATATTTGACCCAACACTGGGTTGAAACAACCCAGCATTTTTTAGAGTGCAAAGATACATTTTAATAATGCCTTTGCATTGTATGAAAGAAACCGGATATGAGATCCTTGCTCATTATCATAATTTAATTCTGTTTAATTTAGAAGACATAATAGTTTAGTGCACCTACAGTGCTTAAACACAACGAAAACAGTTACTGATTGTTTAAAGTGCCTGATTACAATGTTTGAAGTCAGTGAAGGCATTGTAAACAATACAGAAAGCTTTTGCTTCACATTCGCAGTGCACCATCAAATATCTTCGCTAAATCACTTAACACACTTTTGCCTACATCATACTGCCTTTGTAAAAACTGGGCCGATCTGGCTTTAAAGCAAAGGTTATATAAGCAGCAGCAGTTAGTTCTCATAAATACACTCTTCTGGCTGTGGTTTATCATTGGACTGTGTGTTCTGACGGGCCATGGCGAAACTGAAGTTCTCATAGACTTTATTGCTGAACACTATAGATCCATTTTCGTTTTGCTTTCTGCCTACAAAATTAAACAGACACCAAGTTAGACAGAAAAAAACCCCAGACAAATAAAAAGAACACAAAACAGAAGCACAACATAGTTCCTTTTCACAAATAAATTTTTTTAGGTTAATTTAACATATTAAAGGGGTCATATGATGCGATTTCAAGTTTTCATTTCTCTTTGGAGTGTTACAAGCTGATTGTGCATAGATAAGATCCCTGAAGTTGCAAAGACTAAAGTCTCAAAACCAAAGAGATATTCTTTATCAAAGTTAAGACTCTGTCACGCCCCCCTAAAACGGCTCGTTCTAACACGCCCCCACATATCTACCTCACTATGTGGAAATATTTGCATAATGTGCCCAAATGTGCACGCAAAGAAAGAAGGCGTGGTTTCAGTAACCGCAGTTAGTGTTGAAGCAGCCATGTCAGGGAGACGCTGTGTTTCTAGGTGAAAGCAAAAGCACTTTATTTGGCCTTTCGAAAGTAGATGCATTTAGGAATCTTTAAGATGACTTACAACAGAACAGCAATGCATTTTATGGACGACCGTTTCGTGAACCTAGGAGAGGAGGTAATTCTGACTTTGCTATGACAATCTGGCGCTTCTGAATCAGCTACTGTTTTGTTATCAGTTTAAGTATTTGCTATTGACTGTTCAAATGCGGAGTTTTGCGCATCGTGTGTGTGTGTGTGTGAGAGAGAGAGAGAGAGATCACAGTGGAGTTGGCTGTCTTAACCGTGGCTTGTGTACTGCACACATACCAGCTTCATCACTGTGTCTGTCATGCGACTCTGTACCCTTTCGGGCTCTGTCTTTACATTTATTTTGAAAGATGAAGCTTGCGATTATGGTAAGGGGTGTTACATTTCCGACGAGTGCTTGCGGTGTTCGGCCAATCACAATGCACTGGGTCAGCTGGCCAATCAGAGCAGACTGCGTTTGAGAGAGGCAGGGCATAGAGGACCTACAATAATGTACAGTATTTGAAAAATTATGTGTTTTTTGAACATTAAAGCATGTCAACATATTCTGTTACACCAAATACACAAAATAATGATCTTTAAAAAAGCATCAATATTTAATGTAATTGAAAATCTAAAGTTAATTTACTGAAATAATGCCTCAGCTGTAAATGCATATAAAAATACCTGTTCTATCTCTTTTTAAACAGTGTAGATATATCTTTTTTATGATAATGTTAGTGTTACTGCAGTAACTTGCTGGTTGGCTGGTCTCATCTGGTTTAAGCTGATCTCCCAGCCTGGTCAAGCTTGTTTTCAGATGGTTTAATCTGGTTGGTCAACAGCCCAACCAACTAAAGAAGTGGTCAAAGCCCCTCTGAAACAAGCCTGCAAACCAGCTATGACCAGCCCTGAAGACCAGCTAAACCAGCCAACCAGCTGAGGCCGATTTCAGTTGAGAACGAATAGACGTTTGCTTTTGTCACCATCTAGTGGAGGTCTATAAAAATAATTTTTCAATGTCGACTAGTAGGCCTCCGTATATTGCCTTTATATAAAGTTTTGAGGGATCCGTGAGGACTATAAATACATCAGTAGACAAATTTACTGTACCTGTTTACCTTCCCTATGTAACTGGCTACTAAAGGTATTGCTTTCTGTTTTTGTTAAACTGTGGTAACTTGGTGTTAGCCATATTCCCTAATGAAAATAAGATATCAATCCAGCCAGCTTGTTGTTCTTAACTGGATTAAACAGGTCTCCCAGTCACTTCAAGCTGGTTTTCACCTGTCCTGCTGGGTGGTTTTAGAGGGGTTTTGTCAGCTGGTCAGGCTGGGAGACGAGGAAGACTAGATCGGCTAGGACTAGCAATCAGTCCTACCATCTTTTAGCTGTTTTGGTTCACCATATGCTACAAACAGACATGCAATGTTTTTAATTTGAGATATTTTCCTGAAAATATAAAAATGCTGTGCCTAAGATTTTGACGTCACGCTGACAGAAAGCAGAACTAGACATAGAGAAGGATGCAAATTCTTGCCTTCTTTTTTAACTGTTAAACTATTTCTAAACATATGACGGAAAAAAACTTTCATCATATGCAGTTTCCTATTTTTATCAGTCACAGTTATTTAATGTTATTTATTCTGAGTTATAATAACTGTTAAATAATCAAACATAATCATACTCACATTTGCAAATAACAACGGTAAGGATGATGCAGAGGATGAGGCCTGCAGCAGCACTGCATGAGATGATCAGCAGCTGGACAACTGTAATGGTCATAAACGGGGTACGATCAGATCATGAACATCAGACAGATGAATGTTTGACAGACAAAAGGAAAACAGCAACAATCTCAACTGATTGGACCAAGCAGTCTGCTAGAGAGCATCACAGTGACTTTCCTAATGGAACTCAGAATGCTATTTCTAATTTGTACTAAAATTAATGTTTGCTTTGTATTTTTTTGTTTTTACTAGTAACAATACAGATTGCTTGACAGAACTGCTTAAGAACTTCAGAAACATTTTAAAAAGCTGTTATTAAGTATTTGGAGGTACACAGGTGTACACACATATCCTTCACCTCACATATGTGACCCTGGACCACAAAACCGGTCATAAGTAGCACGGGTATATTTGTAGCAATAACCAACAATACATTGTATGGGTCAAAATTATCAATTTTTCTTTTATGCCAAAAATCATTAGGATATTAAGTAAAGATCATGTTCCATGAAGATATTTTGTAAATTTCCTACCGTAAATATATCAAGACTTAATTTTTTATTAGTAATATGTATTGCTAAGAACTTTTCGATTCGATTTTCTCAATATTTAGATTTTTTTGCACCCTCAGAGATTCCAGATTTTCAAATAGTTGTATCTCAGTCCAATATTGTCCTATCCTAACAAACCATACATCAATGGAAAGTTTATTTATTCTGATGTATAAATCTCAATTTCACAAAAAATTTATCATTATAACTGGTTTTGTGGTCCAGGGTCACATACGTATTTTAGTCTGGTTAAATTCGAAGTCCATTATTTAAACAGACTGTTCTATATTTCTAACATTTAAACAAGTATGTGTGTGATTTTTTTCTTCTTCTAGCAGTTTGGCACACTGAAAGCAATTTAGGTTAGTGTAAATTTGCTGAATTGTTACGGATAGTGGTTTATTACATGAAATATTATGCTCTAGTTTGACCCGGTTAAAGTGATAAAATTACCCACCTTTGTCAGAATCACTCTGTGAGGGCAGGTGTATACTTCTTTGAGTTTGGGTGTCTGAGTAGCTGGCGTAACAGGTGATTGTGTCTCCATCACTCCAGTCAGGTTTACACAGACGCAGCTCACTGTTCGTGGCATAAGATTTGAATGGATGAAGTGAACTTTGACCCTCTCGGCTCCAGGTGAAGTTCACCAGCTCAGTCATCAGATCCTCCATAGAGCAGAGCAGATGGATACAGGTGACATTACTGCTGTTCAGTTTCTGCAGAGACAGATGTGGACGAACTGCAGCGGAGAGAAATGTTATGATGTTCAGATGCTTATTACTGACATCTAGGCTAGATGGTTTACAAGAAGTAAACAATTAAAAACATATTAATATATGAATGACACTCACCTTCAACTTGGAGTGTCACATTTGTGGTATTGTCTAATGTTGGTGGTGGTATTAATCTTGTTGTTTTACAGCTGTAATGACCAGAGTCACTGAGCTGAACTTTTTCTTTACTTAGTGTAAAATACTTGTTGTTGAATTTGAAATGAGGAATGCAGTCTCCAGTGAGAGATCCAGTAATGTTATTAATAATCCATTGACAAATAGTTTGTACTATTTGTACTGTTTGTACTGTGAGGTTTGTAGTGCTGTTTGTACTATGTTTTGTCCACTCTACAGAAACTTGTACACTGTCATTAGGGGGTGAGTGGCAGGGAAGATAGACAGTTTCTCCTTCAATTGCTCTGAAATCATTCTCTGCATCTGTGGATTGAGACACATTTCAGTGTAGCTGACAACAGAATGTTGCCTTCAATTACACAGTACATATATCACATCCACTGTGAAAGAGATCACAGAAAATGTACCACATATAAGATGTTTTTTTAAAACTTATCACTGGGATCCTTGTTATTAGTCAAAAAATTATGTAGTACAAGTCACAACTGAGAAATTAGGCTTTGCTTTAAAACAGAACTGAAGTCTCTTACCTGTATGCGTGAGATAAATTAAAATTAAAAATAAAAGACAGTTTGTAATCCACTTTAAAAACATGTCGATGCGCTCAGAGTATGTGGAACTTCTGCACACGAACACACACTCTTGAGTGATGAACTTCCTGGCCATGTGCCCTCCTACAATCTAGATCACAAGTAAAAAAAAAACAAAAAAACAATCCTACTTCCGTTGGTCAAACAGTCAGAGATCCACTTTGATACAAATTGTGCTTGTTTAAAATGAACATTACCTTCACCATCATTGCTCGCCTCATTTTCTTTGTTGATGTATATTTGATGGCATAGAGGAAAAGGAAATAAAGAGTACTGGTAACATTTTTAAAAATGCATTTTATTTTGAAACATGGAGGGATGTAAGAACATGGAGTCTGTTTTCTGTTTTTCAGAGGTTCTTCTTTCCACGTAAAAGCATTCTTGAAAGGGAGACCACCGAATTTCACAATCCTCCTACTAGTACAGACAGAATCGTCATGGTCTTAATGTTTTGAGGGGGCACCAGAGACAGTCTAGCGGTGCAATTTTGGTTTAGTATGTGAGGGAACCAGGGGTGTAATAAACTAAAAGTGAACTGAACTTGACAGCCAATGATCACCATGTATTTTCGTTGTATAGGGGAAAACAAAACAGATTTCACATTTTGATAACTTTTATAAATGTCATAGATAAAACTTTGTTATCACTGTGATAATTACCACTACATCCAATTCTATACTTTTGAAAACCTAAGCTAATACTGTCACTGTATTCTGTGTTCCATTGTGTGTCTTATAATGATGGATTTAAAACCGTTGCTTTGCAGAACTGAAAGGGTAAAATGCACCATATCTTCATGTTTTGTGATTTAGAGGCTCTTCTCTGTGGCCTGTGAGACAGAGTTCTGTGTTCATGCTGCTGTACTGAAGGACACGACTGGGTCAAGCTAAAGAGGCTGACATTTAAATGGATACATGATAAAAATCTCAATAAATGCAACTCTTCTGTAGTCTGACAAATTAATATATTGTTTAAAAAAAAAAAGACACTCCCAAACACTCGCCTGCAAAAACTCTTCTGTTCTGTACAACGACAATTAAAACTACATATTTTGTCAAAATAGTAATGAATTTGCAGCACTAAAGTATTATTATCTACAATAATCATATAATGTAATTATTAACTGTAAAAATATTTTGTTTTTTCATGAAGGAAGCATTTAAAAAAAGGATCTTCTGAGGGTGATTAATGGGCCTCTTAAAAGGATAGTTCACACAAAAATGAAAATTATGTCATCACTTACTCATCCTCATGTCATTCTAAATGTGTATCTAGTTTCCCCCTCTTCTGTGGAACATAAAATATTTAGAAGGAATGTTTTGGTGATCATTGACTTTTATTATATGGATAATAATTCAAATTTCTCAAAATATGTTCTTTAATGTTTTACAGAGAAAGTAAGTCTTACAGATTTGCAACATTACCATGGTGAGGAAATGATGACAATTGTCATTTTTGGGAACTATCCCTTTAAATGAGGCAGGACACCATATTTAGAGCACCAAGTCATATGACACCTTCAGCTTTCATTTTAATAAAAAAGCTTGGTTTTATGCATTTGTTGGACAAGAAAATTTTTTGTATATAGATGCTTATTTAGAAGTAATACTGAGTACATAAAACAGAAATATTTAGATTTTAACAGCACAGTCAAGGACAATGTGCTTAAAGTTCTAGGAAACAAACAAACAACAAAAACAGCCATGTCTAAGAAAGCGTAATCCAAAGCATCATAAAAAAGTATAATTTTTAAAAAATATTACAGCGTGTTTACTCTTCTAAAGCTCTCATGCTGATGGTCCAGGGCAGCAGGTCAGACTCTGCAGGACGACACTAGTCTTTTACAGACACTAAATTTAGTTCACATTCAAATCAAATTAAAAGTGGACTAGAGATTCTAACCAAATCACATGTACATCAGCTGGAGGTCTTATGTTTGGACACGCAGAACATTATCCAGATGAAAACAATGCAGATGATGAAGAAGCTGAAAATGGCCATGCAAACAACTGGAATGTTCTGTTCGAGTTCTGGAAGAATAGATCTCAGGTTAGTTATTTATTTTATAATTATGAAATCATTTTAATTTATTTCCTTGGAAAGTTTAAAGGCCATTGAACAGCATTGCTGAACTGGTATACTTTACTCTAGTTTGTCCTGGTTAAAGTAATATGTAGTTAAAATGACCCACCATCTCTCTGTGAAGTGAGTTGTATACTTTTGTGTACAACGTGTGCGCTTGAGTAGCTGGCGTAACAGGTGATTGTGTCTCCGTCACTCCAGTCAGGTTTACACAGACGCAGCTCACTGTTCGTGGCATAAGATTTGAATGGATGAAGTGAACTTTGACCCTCTCGGCTCCAGGTGAAGTTCACCAGCTCAGTCGTCAGACCCTCCATAGAGCAGAGCAGATGGAAACAGGTGACATTACTGCTGTTCAGTTTCTGCAGAGACAGATGTGGACGAACTGCAGCGGAGGGAGATGAACAACACCAGCATGAGCTCAGGTAGTGACTCGGTTAACATTACTACATTACTATTGTAGAGAGGGACCTCTAGGTGAAGGTCAACAACAATCAGACATTTCAAATAATTAAAAATGTATGAAAGTTACAATCACCTTCAACTTGGAGTGTCACATTTGTGGTATTGTGTAATGTTGGTGGTGGTATTAATCTTGATGTTGTACAGCTGTAATGACCAGAGTCAATGAGCTGAACTTTTTCTATACTTAGTGTAAAAGACTTGTTGTTGAATTTGAAACGAGGAAAGCAGTCTCCAGTGTGAGATCCAGTAATGTTATTAATATACCATTGACAAATAGTTGTGCTGTTTGTACTATGTTTTGTCCACTCTACAGAAACTTGTACACTGTCAATAGGGGGTGAGTGGCAGGGAAGATAGACAGTTTCTCCTTCAATTGCTCTGAAATCATTCTCTGCATCTGTGGATTGAGACACATTTCAGTGTAGATGACAACAGAATGTTGCCTTCAATAATACAGCAAATAAATCACATTTATTGTAAAAAACAGAAAATCTTCCACAATTATTAGGTCCATCACCGGGATCTTTATTATTAGTCAGTTGATACTAAGTCTCAAGTGAGACATTACATGAAACTAATTTGATTTACATTAAAAGGGCAAAGGAAACAGAATTGATGTCTCTTACCTGTATTTGGGAGAAACGTTAAAGTAAAAAATAAAAGGCAGTTTGTAATCCGTTTTAAAAACATGTCGACTGAACACTTCTATGAGCTGTGCTTAGTGTGTGACACTTCTGCACGCAAACACCCACATTCTGAGTAATGAACTTCCTGTCCATACATCCACCCACAATCTGATCAATGATGTCTTTCATTTTTGAGTGGACTATCCTTTTAAGGGCGAATGAGGAAGAGCAACCCTCATGGACATTATGTATATACAGCACCAAGTCATATGACACCTTCAGCTTTCATTTTATTTAAAAAGTTTCAAAATCAAAATATCTAAATATTTTTTGTTTAGTGATGCTAATTACACAGACAACAGAGAAGTAGGCCTATTTGCGGTTTATTATACATCATACCACATGTGAGTTATGTATTTAACATATGCATACAGTGAAAATACAGTGAAAAATAAAAGACAATATATTATAGTAAGAGAATGATTTAAGTTCTTTCCGATGCGCTTATGCTGATGGTCCTTAACTGCAGAATGAGACACAAGTGTTTTGCAAACATTGGTTCAAAGCTAAAAGAACTTATGAAATGTTTCAAAAATAAAGATGCATTTCTCATCCATAGGTTCAATAAAAACAGATTTGTCAGCTTGGTCTTTTCTGCTTAATAACTTAAGCTTATATTCAGATCAAATTAAATAGAGATCAGAGATTCCAAAAAATGGCACAGTTTTTACTGAATGGCAATGCATATTTAGATCTTATTTTTAAACAGTCAAATTTTGCATATATCAAATGTGCAAAATGCAGTTTGTCTTACATTGCAATATGAAGAACAACATCCAGATGAAAACGATGCTGATGATGAAGATGCTGAAAAGGACCACACAAACTGGAAGATGGATCTCAGTTTGGCCTGCTGGATTGGTTGATATGTTAGGTTTATTTTTTATTGACATTTTTATGGTTAGTTTGTTTATTTAAAAATTGTTTTTTAATGTTTACTTTAATTACATTTAATCATTTGCTTTTGTAAAATTAAAGTTCAAGGAAAATTACACACATCCATCGACAGTTTTATCATGTTTGGAATATAGTGAGTTCCAATTAGTGCTTCTATATGAATAACCATTTTCTTTTTTTCTCATTTTAACATCACTCACCTTCATGATTGAAGTCAAGCTTAATGTTTCTGCTGTACTGTGTTTGTGCGCTTGAGTAGCTGGAGTAACAGGTGATTGTGTCTCCATCACTCCAGTCAGGTTTACACAGACTCGGCTCACTGTTCGTGGCATAAGATGTGAATAGATGAAGTAACATTTGACCCTCTCGACTCCAGGTGAAGCTCACCAGCTCAGTCGTCAGACCCTCCATAGAGCAGAGCAGATGGATACAGGTGACATTACTTCAGGAGCCTGATTGAGACGGTGTGCCACACATCACCCGCGATGACGATCATCGTGTCAGGACCGCTTCCCACGTATCGACGAGGACACGAAAGGTTCAGTAGACTTTTTGCTTTAAATGAATGGTTATTGTCATGGTGTAAAAACAGAAACTGCTCTTTGTTAATAATTGGAATCTTTTCTGGGAGCGTCCTGGGCTTTTTTGCGCTTATGGCCTGCATCCCAGCAGAGTCGGAGCGGAACTCATGTCGGACAACATCTCCAGGACTCGCACCATATGACTAGTAAGTCAAATCTCAAATAACTGCCCTGATGACTTGTGTTCTACCCGCATAAATGATAGAAGTACTTGTGCTGTCCAATCTATAAAGACTGTGTCTGTTCCTCGAATAGTGAGGTCAAAATATAAATTTAATGCAGGATCTAGAAAAAAATCTGATCATGATTAAACCAGAAAAATTAAAAATAAATGAACAAAAACAATTTTTAAAGTTTGGGCTCCTAAACATTAGATCACTCTCACCCAAATCAAATAATGCATCTCATAATCTTGTACTGCAGTTATATCTGATCAAATGCATATTTTTATTCTTTAGTTTGGGTTAAACAAATAAATTTCGCTTGGTTGGAACAGCAGCTACACTAATTATGTCTATTTGCTTCTCTGTTTACCAGAACACCAGAGAAGAATTGATGCCAACCCCTCAAGAGGACCTCAGATGATGCCAACCCTGAAACAACATACAGAACTACCACATTTTGCTATAAGTTTGATTGCATCATATAATAATTGCTGTTAATAGTGTTCATCGTCTGTTTTATTACGTCTTAAATAGATTTTTCCGTACATTTCTGCCATATGTACATTAACTGACAGTCACCACCGATAAACTACCACTAAATATTGTAGAAACTTAATTTGCTGTAAAGTTGCTTTGCAATGATTTGTATCGTGAAAAGCGCTGTACAAATAAACTTGACTTGACATTACTGCTGTTCAGTTTCTGCAGAGACAGATGTGGATGAACTGCAGCGGAGGGAGATGAACAACACCAGCATGAGCTCAGGTAGTGACTTGGTTAACATTACATTACTATTGTAGAGAGGGACCTCTAGGTGATGGTCAACAACAATCAGACATTTCAAATTAATACAAATTTATTAAAGTTACAATCACCTTCAACTTGGAGTATTGGACATGAACTTTTGTCCGATGATGGTGATGGTATTACTCTTGTTGTTTTACAGCTGTAATGACCAGAGTCAATGAGCTGAACTTTTTCTATACTTAGTGTAAAATACTTTCTGTTGATTTTGAAACGAGGAACGCAGTCTCCAGTGTGAGATCCAGTAATGTTATTAATATACCATTGACAAATAGTTGTGGTGCTTGCACTATGTTTTGTCCACTTTACAGAAACTTGCACACCGTCATTAGGGGGTGAGTGGCAGGGAAGATAGACAGTTTCTCCTTCAGTTGCTCTAAAAAAACCCCCACCTGTAAAATGAAATTTAAAGGTAATTCAGCTCAACTCTTTTTTTTTTATAGAAAATATTTAGTACTTTTTTCCCCAAAAAACTTTCTTCTGTATTTATCTATTATTTTTTCATTCAGTGTGCACAAGTAAATAATAAACAGAATTAGTCTTCAATAGACTAATTGTTTAGACTTTGTTTTCAAGTTTAAAATATATAAAAATATTAATAATAATAATAAAATTCACCACAAATATCAGTTACTCACCCTCACATACACACAGCGTGAAGCTGAAGATGATAAGAATCAAGTGGTAAATAGCCAATAAAGGCATCATTGTAGTCACTGCATGCAGAATCTATACTTCAGATTTACATTGCTGGTTCCTTCACGTCTAAATGAATGAAGGCGGTACCTGTACTGTATATCAGAGTGCTCTACCGCCAACTGCACTAGTCTAAATAAGAGAACCACAGAAGCTCTTTTTGTGTTATGGGTATTTTACCCTTTAGGGTTAAAAAAAAGGGTAATCATTAGTATTGATAACAACAGTGATAAACATTATTTGCATTATTGTTATTATATTATGTTATTATTATGAATTATTTACAGCCCCCAAATTAATGTAGAATCAACAAAGTATCTTAATTTAATAAATAATAATATTTTTTAAACAAATAAAGAAAAAATCAAATTTAAGTTTAAGTTGATGTTATTGCTAGTTTTATCAAAAATTAAATCACACCATCATCATCATTGAAAATATTATTCTTTGATTGAATTGATATTTCAAATAATAATCCTTTTTAATTAATAAAATATAACTATGAATAATTTTAATGCCAAGTTATAAAATGAAATAAAATGCAGCAAAATTAAAAATGTAAAAAAATAAACCCCCCATGTCTATCAGTGACTTTCATGAACTGAACGCAAGACTGCAGGCACACATATTCATATGTATGTTACTTTAATAGGTGTTTAAAGAATAACATTTGCGTCAGCAGACAGTGTTATGACATAAGACTCAGTGAGAAGGGCAATGGCAAAGGGGTCCCTCTCTACGCAGGGGATCAGTAAGGCAAGGCTGCATCAACAACTGGGCTGTAACAATCAGATCCATACATTGCATCATACAGTACTAGTGACAATTATCAGATCAAGCACACAAGTATAAACTCCTTAGAGGAATCAAGAACAGGATCTCGGGTAAGCGTTTAAAAAGACGGCACCACAACTGCATCTAAAGCCATGAATGTACATTCTTGTACAGAGCAGAGAAAATCCTCATCGTTGACAGGGTGCATATTCAAGGTTATTAAGACTCGGAACGAGTTGAGAAGGTGAAACGGAGAAATGTTTGGCAACTGATATCTGTGATTGCTGCTATTGCATGATTCGGGTCTAAATGCGTAAAAGTGAAAGATATTTGATGTCAGATATAATGGTGGCAGTTTCACTGCACACTTCGGAGGTCAGGGTTTGTGTCTCAAGGATGACTGGAAGTTTTTACAAATTATTCACGTAAGGAAGCAGCTTAGAATTCCTCCATATAAAGCCACCGCATACAGATTGACTGGATTGGAATTAGAAAAATACAAGTACAAAATCCATTACATTCAAGAGACAATCTAGCACAAAAGGGTAATATCATAATCTTTATAGCTAATATAGGAATTTCTGTTTCATAGAGGCATTTTGCTAAGAGGCATCTTCTAAATAGAAAAAAGAGGGGTGAACTTCATGATGGGGGCATCATGGGATGGGATCAGATTCTAAAGATGCATCATGCAGGGGACGTTCAAATAAGCCATGTTATCATTCAATGCATTATAATTCTCGCTAGCAATGACAATTTGTTAAAATACACATATTTCCCCCTCTGGATATGCAGGGGTCACGATAAAGAATGACAATCATGAGGGGACACTGGCGAGATGGGATCAAACTTTTAATTCACACAAAAATTTGATTCCTGCACCCTTTATGCAGCCTCATGTCGTTCTAATTCAGAATGACTTTCTTGCGTAACACAAAAATGGAGACATTTTGAAGAATGTCCATGCTGCATTTTTCCATACACCAAAAAGCACAATAAAAGTATGTCTTTTCTCCACACAAAACTATTTTATGGCTTCAGAAGACTTGAGTTGGAGTCATATGAAACACTTTTATGGTGTTTTTGTCATTTTTACATTGTGAAAAGTGCAGCATGAACATTCGTCTAAACATCTTTTTTTGCATGTTCCACGAAATCATGCAAATACTGGAACATGAGGATGAGCGCATGGTGACAGAATTGTAATTTTTGTGTGAACTGTCCGTTTAAGAACGTGATGTTGTTTTGGTATGGGTTTAAGGTGCAAATATTGTCTTTCTAAAATAGGTATTAAAAAGGTGCCAACATTTTGCACACCACTCTCACTGCAGGTTACTTCAGAGGAAAAACCATCAGAAAAGATTAGAAGAATTAGTTGTGCTGATAAAATACATTTGAAACCTGAAGACGGATCCACTGGCTAAGCTCAGCGGAATAAAGCCTGGCTCTCTGCATCATGAAATTTCCCTTACAGACTTTTCTTTGGCAAATGTCTGAGAGAATCTGTCTCCTGGTCGCCGGGAAGAACTTCAATTGCGTCTGAGGCACATTACGCACCAGGGAAGACGTCTTACGGTAACTTCTTGTGAACGACAAACATTTGGGACGCGGATGAGTCACGTCTTTCATGAACAACAATCCTTTGAGGAAACATAATTTTAAGCTGCGATCACATTAGCGATATTTCAGCGAAATTTACTGTAAATTTTGTAGAAATATACGAAGCAGTATTCACACAGAAACCATCTTTAAACCAAGCGAATTTGCAGTGAATTTGTTTAGGGAACGTCTTCGCATTCACGCAAAACTCTAGATTGTATGGATTCTTATTTAAATGACGAGTTTGCTTGCGAAATTTCGCTGAGGTAAATGTGACCGCATTTTTAGTCAAGGTGGACAAAGTTGAACTTTTCGCAAGGATTTTTCGTCAAAATTAAACATGGCGCCCACTATAACGAATGCTGAAGAAGGGATCATTTACGATTAGATGCAATTCAAATTGTCCATAATGACAATCAACTGATTCAAAACAGCTGAGCAGGAGGTTTAGTATCTTATTATTCATAATTCTACCCTACTATAACTTTTAAAGTTTCATAGGTGGGGCCATACAGGTGATTTATAAAATTTGCTTAATAAAATCACACTTATAAAAGTGATTTGGACCTGATTTTTCAGGTAAACATCAACAGTATGTCTCACGACTGCCTCAGGCACAATTACAGCCTACAAGCTTTCTATTACTTAAAATACACTGAGGTTTAAACCCTTGGCTTGGAACAAATGCGTCTATTGTATAAATAACAGGAAAGGGGAATATTCAGACACAGATCTCGCGCCCCACCACGCACGCCAGACATAGGTCACATGCAGCAATGCGGTTGTCTCGCACGCGCACGTCCACAAGCAGGAACTAACTAATCATCTAGAGGCGGTGCATTCTTTATCAGTGCTTGCTGGCTTAACAGGTAAGCATAGGTATATATATATATACATATATATATATATATATATATATATATACAGTGGGTACGGAAAGTATTCAGACCCCCTTAAATTTTCCACTCTTTGTTATATTGCAGCCATTTGCTAAAATCATTTAAGTTAATTTTTTTCCCTCATTAATGTACACACAGCACCCCATATTGACAGAAAAACACAGAATTGTTGACATTTTTGCAGATTTATTAAAAAAGAAAAACTGAAATATCACATGGTCCTAAGTATTCAGACCCTATGCTCAGTATTTAGTAGAAGCAACAACAGTCTCGATCCAGTACAGCACACCTCAGGAAAGGCTGAGGTTTCTAAACGAAACGTTACGAACGAAGCGAGGAAAAACAGCGCCCTAAAGAAGGTGGTCTAAGGAGAACAAATTAAATACAGTATTTCGAAGAAGTACAAAAAAACCTTATTAGTTATAAGTTCATAAATTCACAGACATGATCATTTATAGAAGAAAAATCGAAGCAAAACAAACAAAAGAACATCAATCGTCTTATTAAAAAGGAAAAAGCTGGACTTGAACAGCGAAAGAGTGTGCGGCTTTTAAACCTGTGATCTGGCTTATAGCATTCCTTCATTTATCTAATCTAGGCTCCCTACGACCTCAAGAGGGATTCAGGAAGCAGAGTCTGAGGTTCGAACCAGCCCAAGAACCCAGGGAGCTGACGTGTATTGCAAAAATCAGTTTCGAAGCAGAAATGTTTTCCAGTAATATATCCAAACATCCTTAAAACAAGATTAAATTACCTGAGAAGCAAAACTGCGCAAGATAATACAAGAATAAATTGAACAAATCAGTTTTTGAATGAATCCGTTAAGCAGAGGAATCATTCACATGTTCCTTTCTCCAATTTGTAGGCACTCACATTTGAATAAAGACTTGTTTTGATTGTGAACACCACTGGTTTTTTAAGATTCAGTTAAGTGCAGTAAATGATTCAGAACTTCCTCATAACTCACAAAATGACATTTGCCTGTCAACACTTACTGGCATAATGATGCAACCTGCAGAAAAGCTCCCTGAATGAATCAGTGAAGAAAAAACGATTCACTTCAATCAAAACCCCACCACTTATCTGGAATTAATCTGATTTGTCTTTCTTTTTCAGTATAAATTAAACAAAATGTCATGAGGTTTTTGTTTTAAAAAAGGGAGAGGAAAGCCAAACAAGATTTTGCTTCTCAAATAAACTGATCTGGTTTGAAGACATTTTTTAGATATGTTCATGAGACAAACATACTAATAAGAGCATGATTTTTTGCAATGTGTCATTGACACAGCACACAATCTGGTTTAAAGACCAGAACATGACCCTGCAAGGGTCTGACTCACAAGTGCCTAAAACACAGGATGTGCACGTCGCAGGAGAACATGCTATATTGACTCCCACAATTCAAGGAGTCTGTGTGTGTGTGTGTGTGTGTGTCTGTGAGAGAACACATTTCTCTTCTACATCAATCCCTGTTTTCTTTTCCTCTAACTCTCTCTCACTATGTGCTTGGAGGAATGGACAGAATCAGTAAAACTTTTGAGCTGGAATGGCGTCTACAGCCTCAGGCACAGGAAAAAAAAACGAGGGCTGAGTATCTCAGTGATGATACAAAAGCTAACTTGAGACTAAAACAAAAACAAAACTTGCTATTATAACAAAAGTCAACGACAACTAAAAGCATTGTCTACGGTAGCTAAAAATTAGTGCAGTGTCTATTATTAAACTATATCAGAGGAGTAGCACTCTTTTGGATTAGCCAGCAAGATGCTACACACTGCAGTAAGGTCAAGTACTGACATAAAACGCATTTTTTCGTTCAAGTATCATCATACTGCTCTGATAATGAACTCATTGATAGCTGTACATGTCAGAGAAGAGCGCAGAGCTAAAAGTGACGGGGTGTCACGATATAAAAAGGTTCGACTGGCTTTCCATCGGGTGATTCAGTTAGTCAGAAACACTCGTAGGCAGGGTCTAAAATTTACTCATTTCAACTGCCAACAGTTAATGAATAAAAAAAAAAAACGCAGACCAAAAATATTAATTTCAGATTATTTCACATTACAAAAAAATTTATATGAAATGTTATTTTTTTAGAATATACATTACCGTTCAAAAGTGGTCAGTAATTCTTTTTTGAAAGAAATTAATACTTTTATTCAGCAAAGATTCATTAAACTGATCAAAAGTGACAGTAACATTTATGATGTTACAAAACATTCCTATTCCAAATAAATGCTTTTCTTTTAAACTTTCTACTCAAAGAAACCTGAAAAATTATCAAGATTTCCACAAAACTATTAAGCAGCAAAACGGTTCTCATCATTGATAATAAGAAATATTTCTTAAGCACCAAATCAGCATATTAGAATGATTTCTGAAGGATCTTGATACTGAAAACTGGAGTAATGATGCTGAAAATTCAGCTTTGCCATCACAGGAATAAATTACATTTTAAAATAGAAAATAAATATTTAAAATTGTAATAATATTTCATAATATTACTGTTTTTACTGTATTTCTGATTAAATAAATACAACACTGGTGATCATAAGAGACTTCTTTCAAAAACATTATTACAGATCCCAGTCTTTTGAACGGTAATGTAAATTAATATAATAAAATATTCAATGCTTTGCAAGTGCTAATTTTGGACCCTGCTCAACGACCGCAGCGCAGCTTGCGCAAACATCCGGCTTGCCCCCGACACATCGCTGCTGTCTGTGAGTGGAAAACAAGTGGTTTATCTCTGAACAACTGTCATCTACAGAGGCACCGAGACACATTGAGGGTCATTGCTTGAAAGAAAGAGGCATCTAGGTATCGACTGTGCATTATGAAGGTGAAGGTGGTGCTTCTGTGCAGAGAACAAATCTGAACAGGTTTGTGAGGTATGAGGTTAAGCAGTCTGAAAACACTAATTCTCTCTCTCTTCATAAGAATCAGAGCAAGAAAGGGGTGCAGGAAGCCACAAAACATTCCTCTGACTGAGAGAAGGTGTATGCTGCTGTGTGAAAAAGACGTTTGTGCAATGAAGCAGACCAGGAACAGAAACGTAAAGATAGAGAAAGACCGAGAGGGAGCACTTGCTTCAAATGCACTTTTTGTAGGCAAAACTTGACCTTAAATAGTAGCCATTTCTTGCAGATTGTAAAGTCTGACAACTGGTCCGGAGTCACCAGAGGAAACAGGCGTAGGGACCAGAATTGGCTCCCCCAGGGCCCTGAGGGGGTGAGAGGGAGGGAGGATGGGGTTGGGTGTAAGGTGAAAGCTTCTGGGATAAAACATCTTCATCCGGCTCAGAGCTTCCCTCATCCCTTTCCAGTCTCTCTCACTCTCGTTCGCTCTTTCCCCCCGGCATCTGAGGCCGAGGGTCAAGATTAAGGCCCCAGCATGTCCATACATAAGCCCAGTCCGGACTAAACCCGTCCCGGGCCAGGCTGAGGCCTCACTGGTCCGCACAGGAAATCAGCACAGGAGCCATGTCCTTCACTTGACCTTCAGTGGGGATGCCCACAGCACGCTGGGCTCTGGAACAAACACACAGGTGGTTATTATCAACAGACACACACCATCTCAGCCATGAGACTGCAGGGTTTCCCTTCTACCTGTGCACATTCTCCATGGCTGCAACCTCAGCCAGAGCAGCCAAGCTGAAGAAAGCCGGGAGGCTGCCGGGCACATCCGTCAAGTCCGCTTCCGCTGATCTGGGGTCATTGTAGCAGACCCCCCTATTGCATAATGTCTCTTGAGTGAATGGCTTTTCATCCTGATTCTTGGTCTGATCCTTGGATTTGTCTTCTGCTGTAATAGAGAGTAATAAAATAATTTTAGACTTTTCAACAATGTTTTTATTGGCAGGACAGCAGAGATGAACAATCTTAATGTTTCTAAAGGATGCACACTCACATGATATAAAAAATCCAGTCATATCACTGGCTAAAAAAATATGCATTTTATTCTACATGAGAAAGATCCACCATGTTGAGATGACAGCTTAATGTGGTTTATTTTATCTTAGTACCTGTTTGTTGGTGGCCACTGGCCACTTTTTGGTTGCGGTATAAAGGTGAGAAATATCTGTGAATAGCGCATTTCAACAGTAGCAAGTGGCATCAGTGGCTAACTTTATTTTTACCTGATGCATCTGTGAATTCAATATATATCTATATCTATATCTATATATATATCTATATATATATATATATATATAAATTTATTAGAAATGTATATATATATATTTTTTCTTTTCATATTATATTGTTTTTTTTAAAAATATTATATATATACTGTATATATATATATATATATATATATATATATATATATATATATATATAAAATTTAATAGAAATGTATATTCAGCAAGGATGCATAACTACAAAAAACTGATTTCAAACAAAAAAATGTAATAAAAAAAACATTTAAACTTTTTTTAACATTTAAAATAAATTACTGTATTTTTGATCAAATAAATGCAGCCTCAGTGAGCAAAAGACGCTTTAAAAACAAAAGCGTTAAAACATCCTAACTTTTGAACAGCAATGTACATTGAAAAACAAAAGTAGAACATGGGTGTAGAGCGTTTCTGCAAGAAATTATAAGTGTAGAAATCATAAATAAGATGTTGTAACAGGACAATGTGGGTTCAGCTCACCCACTGCAGGTGACACTCGGCCATCAGCCGTGCGCACCAAGTGTGTGATTTTACTCTTCCTGGCCTTCCTCTTCTGACTGCCCACAGGCGTATCCAGAACCTTCTGGGGTTCAGGAGAGGGAGACACACACGGACTGCCCGACTTCACCACTGGACTTGATTCTGTACCCACAGTTGGGTCAGTTGGGACAACGTCTAAAGGAACAGAGTGGGGACATGTGAAATATGTCAAAAATGAGACCTGGAAGTCCTAATGCAGATGACTGACAATGAATGATGCTTTAGGATGTTATATTGCATTTAACTTGTGCCACTTGTACTACACCACACCAGGTTGCATCAAAAGTATTTACATAACTGTGACACGTGTGCCCCTTTAAGATAACCAGACTATACAGTGACCTAGATATGACAGCGTTCCCTGCTATGCGGCAGGAAACATTGAGGCACTGGGCTAAACCACAGATAAACAACAACCAACACCATGCAAGCACAGTTTCCAGCACTCGTTCACACAGTCTTGCCATCTGAACACAGAATGAAGCTGATATCTAATGGCTGTGGGGGTGTCACCTTTGTCTGCGGCACTGGATTTCTCCTTCCTGTGTTTGTACTTGTTCACTATCTTGTGGAATAAGGTCTTTTTCTGAGATGAAGATGAACCTAATTTCAAAAGCAATAAAACAAGAACAAAAAAATACAACACAGCATGCTATGTTAGGTGGAAGTTATGTCATTCTGAACATGAGATGACTACTTCCTAAAAAAGTAAGCAAATGAGGAAATGAGTGTGGGGGCCAGGAGGATGTGATGTCAGTTTCCATGCATGTAGTGAACTCACCCTTGCAGGGTTTGGTCGGTTCAGGAGGGCTGGACATACTGTTTTTTTTCTTCTTGGTTACCGCCACGCTCTTTTTGTCAAAAGTCAGGGGGCTGTACTGCGGTAAGCTGTTGAACTTTTTCTCGAACTCCTCTTCAAGCTTTCCTAGCCTGTGAGTTTTATACACAGTAAAACATTAGCCATCTGTGCAAAGTCTGCTCATCTGGATTTAACATCTGCTAGATAAACTGACTTTAATATTGCACAAAGAAACACGATGGAATGTTCTTCAAAAATTTTACTCTGCAATTTTAGTCTGAAACTATGATCATGGGATGGCAAAAATGAGTATGATACATGCTTGAAATGTACAAAACTCTTTGGACTCCTTAATTATCAAGCTAACCTAATGCACAGAAACTGAGAAATGTTTTGTCTTTTTAGACCATTAACACTCTCCAATTAACCTAATAAGAAAAGGCAAACCCAAAAGTTAGCCTCAACGTGAAATATACTGATTCAGCTAATATTAATTACATTATCAATCAATAATCTAAGGTGGCCGAGAATTGCAAAACAAATCACAATTCTGAAAATTGTTTTAATCGCAAATTACAAACGCAAATGCAATTCTAAAAAACAAAATAATTCAGAAAACACAACAATTTCGAAAACATTATAACAAGTCAGAAAACACAATGACAATGAAATGAGATAAACAGCTCTCTGCTTGCAGCGCGTCAGTTACGCTCGTCAGGAAAGTAAGTGAAATACACACACAAACACATTTTTTTATCAAATAATACGTCATTAATAGCAGTTCACTTCTGTGATTTGGTACGATTGCGTTCATATCAGCAGCGAACCGTATCCCAGACCACCCTTTTTAAGCGGACTCGGGTACGGTTCGCGGGTGAGCCTCCGAGTTCAGAAGACAGCATTCATCATCCAAACGAACCGAACTCTGACATCAATCGAACCCGGGTGTGCACCAAAAGTGCTAGTGTGAAAGCACCCTTAACGCTGTTTTATATAACTCAATTCCAGTTTAATTGTCCTAATAAAAAGACTGTTCAACTCTTAATATTTTGTATTAATATTCTCCCCTTTAAATTCTCTCTGCCCCACAAAAATCCCAATTTAACACACCTCTGCCTGTTTTTTTTTTTGCATTCTCATTTGGTCAAATAGCAAAAGAAAATTGCCACGATCTAGTGTTTTCACGACTTTAAAAGAAAAAAAAAAAATTGAGAGAGACTGAATGGCAGTCAGAAGAGAGAACTGTCAAATTTACCATCACTCCCATAGACACTGTTTTAGAAACACCCACCCATTACCATTAACTAGTTTTTTGTAATCTGATTCAATAATATAAGTATTGTAAATGTACATGCATATTTTTTTCCATAGTAAGGGCAATTCATACAATACATTTAAACTGTGTTACTTTAAGACCATCTCCGATCTTTCTACCGCTAGTCTGCTGTTCTTCCTGTATAGGCTACCTTGATTGACAGATGTCTCGTCCAGTCAGCGGTGAGTAATCTATTCTCACACCAATGGCGCTGTCTCAAACTATACCTACCTCTTCTGGTTTGTCAGATTTGTCGTTGTGTTTTCTGACTTGTTATAATGTTTTCGGAATTGTTGTTTTGTTTTTTTAGATTTGCATTTGCATTTGCGTTTGTAATTTGTTATTTTGTTTTCAGAATTGTGATTTGTTTTGCACTTCTCGGCCACTATAATAATCAATGTTGAATCAGACTGCAACTAATCACTTAAATCACTAAAAATCTAAAATTATAAAGTCGACAACAAATTTGTAATTTATTTCATACTAAGCATAGTTCAAATGTACTTACTGACATATCGCTCGAGACTTACTGCTATAAAAATTGTAATTAAACTTTATTTGGAGTACTAGTGCACAATGCATATTTCTTAATATTAAACCTAAAATGTTTTTTAATGGGGTTTGTATGATCTCTGAATAATATCAGTTTTTAAATGCAAGATATTTAAAGTGTACCTGAAGCATACTTGCAATAGTTCCACTTTAGCACAATCAAATATACTTCAGTATATCTTTAGGTGGACTTCAGCACTACTTTCCCAATTAAAGTGAAGTACACAATTAGTTTAGCAGAATTTAAGTATACCAGTTTAGTTTACCAAAAGTCCAATTGCAGGGTATTTTTATTAAACACATAAATATGTAAAGGTATTTCTAGTATACTTGGCATGAAATAAATGTATTTCAAATACATTTTAGTATATTTATTTTTCACTAGGGTGTTTAAGCTGTTCTGTTACTTTTTAATAATAGAACATTTTAGTTTGTTTTGATAATCTTAAAATCTATTTAAATTGCACTTTTAATTAAATATCAAATACATATGTAATTTACATTTAAAACCCCATGTATAACATACATTCATTATTATATTTAGGTGTTTTTATAGCCTTAAATTTGCTTGCTGTTTGAAGGAGCACTGAGCAAGATGTGATTTTGTTTGTTGTTTCCCCCCCCCCCAAAAATGCAGAAAATAAAATGTGCCGTTTTTTTATAGACCTGATTGATCGAGAGGAAAAAATATTCCATTATAAAAAAAGTTGTTAGTTGCAGCCCAAATAAAATAAACTCGATCACTGTTTCCCTGCAGATTCAGTGATGTGAAAGGAGGAATTACAGCTCACCCTGGGGTGGTTTCCTCTTTAGACTTGGACTTCTTGAGCTTTTTTGGGTTGCTGGTAGCAGCTTGAGAAAATCCCCAGCTCTCATCATTCCAGCTGCCCTCATGATCGGACACACTTCCTCGCATGGACCCTCTTTTCCCTACAACACAGACCAGAAAACCAAACAGCACTTTTTCATTTACTGTATCACCTGATTTTAGTGTATATGTGAATTACTTGAGATAAAGGCCAATTTGGTCATATTAAGATAAAATGTTAATGATATTCAGTATAATATGATATAAAAATAAACATCATGATGTTGAAATTGTACTTCGGCCTACATAAATGGGAAAGTATGTTTTTCTATGATACTATTTGCTCCACATGATCAGTTTGAACTAATGTGTAATGAGTTTCAAATCCAGTCACACAGCACCTATGACAAGATAAACAAACAGGAAAGGAACCTGTGGGATGTGCGTTACCTCTGTCTACATTTGCTCTCAGTGATGTAAGCATCCCTTCGGACACCAGAGTCTTATAAAGCGCTCCTTTACAGCTTCGTTCTGACTTCCTGGACCCACAGGCCTCTGGCTTAACATCTTGCTCTCTATCTTCCTGTCTGGTTTGAGGTGGTTTGGTGTCTGTGTCTTTCTCCTCCAGTTCTGTAGAATGAGGAGGAGAGCAGTGTGGTGACGTGTCCTCCACGCCAAAAGGGGGCTCCACCTTCATGTCTGGCTCATTCTCACATTCATCTTTAGGGGTCAGAGGAGCTTCCTCAGTTTTCATCTCTACGTCCTGCGGTTTATTGGTCTCTTCCTCCCCTTCTTCCTCTTCCTCCGCGTCATCGTCTTTTAACTTCAACTGTTTTTTCGATTTAGGTTTTGTTTTCTTCTTCACCGCTGGAGATTGGTCCGTTGTGGGGCTGCTCTCACTCCCTGAGGGACGAGCTTTCTTCCTGGGTGTTTCTTCCGAGCCCCAAGCACCTTTTGCTACTGCTTCGATGGTGAACATCACGCTGTCCAGGTCCGACTCGGGCGAATGGCGCTTCTTTGCCTTTTTGGGCAATGCAGGATTTTCATCCGAGTCTTTATTTTCTTTCTTCTTTTTCTTCTTCTTCAGCGTCTTACACGGGCTGAGATCAGATGGGGTGGTGTCAGTAGGGGAGGACGAGGTGGATCCGGAGGTAGAGGATGATGATGATGATGATGTGGTGACAGGAAGTTCAGGAGTGTCTTCGTGTTCTGTGGTGACTCTGCTACTTGAGCTGTGCTGAGCACAGAGTGAGGAGGAACCACCAGAGGGCTGGGAGGATCGAGCTTCCATCTTTTCAGCCTCAGAGGCCAAACACATCTATGTACACACACACAAGCACATCAGGTTATGGGAAAAATTATATATAAGCTGCCTGGTTGAATATATAAGTCAACACGAGACTATGTTCGCAACCCATTTTAATTCAATACTGTGACATATTGCTAAGTGAAACCGGATAAAAAAAGTAGGCCCTTGGATTTTATCCATTAGTAAATGTTTGAACGATGAAATTTTTGAAGTTTCTATACTTTCACAAATGCAATTCTTAATTAGCATCTTTATCTTGTTTCAATTTAAAACATCTATACATCCTTAAAAATGTGAATCTGTTGCATATGATTTTTAAACTAATTTTCAGCACATATATTTAAAAATGTGTTTTGTGCGTTGGTCTTAGAGCCATTGGCTATAGATATATGCAGCAACCCAAATATTAAAGGTGTTATGGCCGGTCAGCAGGAGCATAAAATACTTTTGTACTATGCTGACGATATTTTACTTATCTCTAGTAATCCACAAATAACAGTACCCACAATGTGCTCTTTAATTGATGACTTTTCTCAAATCCCAGGATATAAAATGAATTGGAGTAAATCAGAAGTAATGCCTCTGTTTAAAAACCATAATATGTTAGAAGTGCAATGGCCATTTAAATGGGTCTCATCTGGGTTAGTTTATCTGGGAATCAAACTTGTACCTGGATTAGAAAAAATTATGCAGGTTAACTTTCAACCAGTTATTCAAGAGATCCAAAATTTGCTACAGAATTGGAGAAAACTTACAATGTCTATTTTGGGTCGAATTAATCTTGTTAAAATGATAATTGCTCCCAAAATTAATTATTTGTCATATATGCTCCCCCTTGCATTACCACTATCACTTCTGAAGAAGTACAATAAGAATGCAGAATACTTTATTTGGCAAGGGAAGATACCCCCTTTTAATCATACCAAATTGTATTCTGCTAAAATTTCGGGTGGGCTCTCTCAGTGGACTAAAATCAGTATGGCTCCTAATGTAGCCCCTACGTGGGTGCATATTGAAAAGGAACTGTTGGCCCCTTTTTCCAACAGAGGCTTTCTTGACACAGCTCACCTGACCAGTACCTGACCAGAATCCTGTTTTTAGATTTGTTAAAGAAAGTTGGAAATTGAATCACCAAAACTTGTTTACTTGATATTGGTACTATGGTTCATATGTTGTATGAATGTGATAAGGTTAAAGAACTGTGGGAATTTTTTTTTACATTTTGTTAACATTTTCAGCCTAACACTACACAAGAACCCTGCTCTCTGTATGTTGGGTATTTACCAGAAGACGCATGCCTCTCCCGGCAACAAAGGCAATGGTGCCGTCTAGCTATGGTGTCTGGATGTAGAGTCATTCAGAGACATTGGAAATCTTTTACGCCCTCTTCATTTGATGAATGGCTAGAACTCATGTCCAATATTGCTAGCTATGAACGTGTGATATTTAGAGTCTTAGGACGCCTTGATCTGAAAATATCAAAATATGGGGTTCTTTTCTTGCATTGCTTGAGAAAATGGTATAAAGAGATAAGCATAATGTCAAATATGCTCTGTCTCCTTAAGAGTGTATGTAAAGTCTAAGATGTCTCGGTGTGTCTAAACCCTAAATATGTATATATTCTATTTATTTGTTACTGTCATTCTTAAGTGTTATATTAAGTCAGTTTTGTTCCTGTCAATTGTTTAAATCAAGTTTGGATTTATTGTGCTTAAAAGCAAAATTAAAAAATAAAAAATAAAAATGTGTTTTGTTCATTTGGTAAAGATAAAATACAGATAAAATAATTGCATTAGGATTTTTCAGCAAATAATTGTTAGTGGATTGTTTTGAAACAGAAAAAAATAATAATTTTAATAAATTCTAAATAATTTTAATTTAATTAATTAATTAATTGTATTTATTAAACTTTAATGATTATATATATATATATATATATATATAAGGTAGAAATATACATATTGATAAATCTGTTATTTTATGTTTTATATACAAGTTGTTTTGAGTTATCTTAGAACATTTTGATAAAAATAGTAGTTGCTAGTGTGCCTTCAGGTCTAAATCAAAAATTCTAATATCTTATTTAAAATGTATTGCATAAGATATTAAAAAAATGTTCAGCAAATACTTCTTGAATACAAATGCTCATTTGGTAAATTGTTCACTTGATTTAACATAAAAAGTAAAATTAAATAAAAAAAAATATTATTCATAATATTATTTTATATATAAGCATAAATGTTAAATACATGTTATCTTATTTTCTAAAGCAAAGTTGTTTAAAGAGTTTAGGTTACATTTAGATTTTTACACTTTTCATGTACTGATGAATTGCTCACAATTAGACCAGGAACATGTAATAAGAAAGTAAAAGGGTCCGTTTTAATTTCATGTTGATTTTAAGATATATAAATACCCACCAGGTGGCAGCCAACGCTTCAGAACTCTCCTAGGATTTATTACATAACATTGCTTGCCATTGTTCATGCCAACCGGTCAACACCAGCCACTGCCTCACTGAGCTTTAATTCTGCATTATAACATCAAATACTGTAAGCATAAAATTCATCCTCCTGTCTTGCATCTTTGTGTAACCCGGGGCAGTGATTGTGCTGTATATGTGGGTTGGTGATGTACCTCAGCGAGCTGGAAAAGAGCCGACTGGCCGCACTGCCTCCCCTCAGACGCTGACTGAGACCTACTGGAGGAGATCTGCTACAGAGACACACAAAACACACATATCAAGAGCAATAAACAGAGGAATAGGAAATTATTCGTTAGGAAATTCACCCACAGAGAGGAATACATTTCTGATTTAAATCACAATGTTGTGATGGTGAGTGGTGCTCGCACATGCAAAACTCACTGCCAAAACTCACATACCATTTAGTTGCTAGGATTTTAAAGTCTATGGGATTTTTTTTTTTAATCTGCGGGATTAAAAAATATATAAAACTGAGAATTAATGATTTGTTCAAACCCTACTTACAAGCAATAGTAATAGTGATGCTTGCCTTAGTAAACACGACTAATAAGAACTAATAAGTCTAATGTTTTTATAATATTACATGGCTGCAGGTCACTGTCTAATTAGACAGTGAATTAGCTTTTGATTTTTATTTTCTGTTTTAATTATAAATGTAGTTTTTTATTTTATTTGTAATATTTGAATATTTTTTTTTAAATATTTCTATATTTATTTTTTATTCTACATTTATTTGAATATTTCTATATTTCATTTATTAAAGTTTTAGTAATGTTAGTACCTCACCTTAAACTTGTTTCAGTTAGTTGCCAAAGCAACATTTCTCTAGTATTTTAAGTTAAAGTTTTTTTTTAGCTTTCTTTTAATTACGGAAAACAATTTTTAATAGTTTTAGTTTAGGTTAACAGTAAAAAACTGCCTAATACAATCAGTCTAGCGTCACATGCTGTCCCGTTTTGTGCCACAATTTAAGAACAGAAAGTGCAAACTGCTCAAATGAAAAGTTAATAGTTAGCAGATGGCCTTTAGAGCTAATGACACTGAAGAAAAATGACAAAAACAAAAGCAATGACTGGAAGTTCAGGAGTATCAAAATGGCTGCCTGGATGGAGGAAGTTGCTGTTCTAGCAGGTAACACACCAGCAAAAGAAGAAGTGGGACATTTTATTGACACTTTTTGAGTTACTGAAGGTTTCTGCTGTGGTCACTGACTGCAAAATATATATACAATCAATGTGAACACTGCATAATGCATTTAAGAATAATTCCTTCCTAGCATAGCATGACTGTATCTGCACTATATGAGCGAGGTAAGGTGGGACGAAAAACATTCGGAGTGGGATGGACAGGGGGGCAATGGAGTCTCTAGGAGAGTTTATCTGTACCTCAGCCAGCTGAAACAAGGGTGATTTCACACAACTCTTGGGCAGGTCTGGTGAACTTGGCTGAGATGGTCCAGAGGCCTAAAAAGGACATTAAAATGAACCGAATGAGTGCTCAGTTTTAAATTCGAAAGATACTGGAAATCTTCCACATTAATGTAGCACTTCTTTCACTTGAGTGTCCAAAACCCTCACCTCTACATGTGTGAGAGAGCTTGTGTCCTCAGCGTTCTTACTTCCCCCAGCTGGCTGCACCGGACTGGAAGAAATCTGAGGGGAAAGAATAAAAACACGAGTTACAACAAAATGCATTTAGATCATTAAGCAAGTCATTTGGACGCACACAGCCAACCACCCATATCCGAGACGTCTCACTGCTAAGGAAGGTTTTAAGGGTCTTTTATTAAGGACTGACAAGTCTTCAGGTGGTCTCACCTCAGCCAGCTGGAAAAGGGCTGATTTCCCAGTGTGCTTAGCAACATCTGTGCATCCTGTCTGGGAAGAGCTGGAGGAAATCTAAAACGAAAGGATAAAAAAAAAAATGAAATCAGTAAAGCAGAAAAAAGCCATAAAAGAAAACTACCTCGAATCAACATTTACAACTCAACACCTCCCTCTGTTGACAGTTTGATGGAAAAGTCACCGGTAGAGTCAATAAAATAAAAAAAATACCCATCAATTATGCTGTCTAACCAGGAAGTGACAGACAACGAGACAGTTTGAGGTGTCTACGCTGGAAACCACTGCACATTACCTCAGAAACTAGACATCGGCATTAGTAAAAAAGCTGAATAATTATAGTCTACTTTGTATTCACTGAAGTCAATTGATACAGGTTATTTTAGAAATAAGTAATTTAAATAAATTATTCTGAGTTGCAGACAATTATAATTTTTTACAATGCTACATATGGTTACATAATGTACAATATATATATTTTAGGCCCAAAACCAGAAACATTATGAACTGGCTTTGATATAATGGTTAAAGGTTATTTAAAGGCAGAATATGTACTTTTTTTGATTAAAATATCCCAAAACCACTAGAAAAGTGTTATATATTTTGCTGACTTGTGTACTTACATTATCCCAAATGTTTTGAAGAATGTTTAAATCCAGAGAAATAAGCAATTTTAACTAGTGTAACATAGTGTCATTGGCTATGTTTCCATCACCCTATTTTAATGCACATTGTGAAGTATCGCATGAGAAACGAGTGATGGAAACGCCCAATTTCAAATAAAAATCCCTTAATTTGCAAAAACGTTTTTACGCTCGCTTGAGGTGGTTTTTGACTTGTGCGAAAAAGGGTTGATGCGTATAATGGGAGATGGAAATGCATTTTGCAAATAAATTCCTCCAAGGGCATCAAAAAAGTCATGTGACTTTGCGCTATGGGACGGCAAAACCTGACTAGCGGACCGATCTCATTCCACACAATCCACAGCATCACGAGCAAAGTCTGTCATCAAAGTATTTCTGTATAATTGCCTCCCAGAAATGTCTTACACGACTGCGTTCCCAAACAGCAGCATCCACCTCCGAAAGCAATGCATGTTTATTCATTGTGTTTCGTCTGCTCGCTCTGAGGCGCAAGTAATTTATTATATATGAAAATGATTATATTCTCCTACTTTTCTTAGTGATTTATAGTGACAGTTTATCAGGGAGTGACGATTTTGTTCTCTTTGACTTGTTGGATGGAAACCATGCTTGTTCGCAAATGTTTTATGCGATATTCCAGTTTTGCACACAAGTTAAATTTGCAACTTTGGATGGAAACCCGGCTATTGTGTCGCCTGCCAATGACGTCATAACCCCTCGATTTTTCCGGTTTTATTTTGTTGAAAACATGGAAACCCCAAAGACACTTTAATATGTTATGCATTTTATTAGACAGGTGACGAATGCACAGAGCAGCATTATAACTGAACTTTCAAAACACTCAAATGTATCTAGTATAAAACAGCGCTGTTTTACCCCACATACGCATAACCAGAAGAAGTGCTCGACTGTGGCATAATAAAAGCTCTGCTGCTATCGAGCCGTGTATCGTGCTCCTCCTTCATTAGCAATCACTCCAGCAGCCTCGTTTCGCTTCCACGACTTTTAGCCCCACCCTACTACAGTGACCTTGACAAGTCTTTAATACATTAGCTCATCAATTAACATGATTTCTGCCTGAGTCCCGTCGGATTGCATCGGCTGTGGGGATGAAGATGACAACTTCCATGATTCCACACTCAGTCCCGGCGTCATATATATATATATATAGTTAAAAAGAAGAACATTTGTTTTAAACAATTTTGTTTAAATGTCACTTTTGATCAATTTAATGTGTCTTTGCTGAAAAAAGTATTAATTTCTTGCAAAAAACACGTTATCCATAAAAATAGGACTGCCTTGCATTGGGCACAAGAAATATCACATACATTCACACACAATATTACTGCATTATTTTAAGCAAACTGGAAAAATGAATTAACTGGTTTAGCTAAATAGCACAAAAAACTAGAAACAAGAAGACTATTGACATGAAGCAACTTCAACATGGTGTTACTTTTAATTTATCATTGACTTGTAGTGCACTAATGCCATGCACAGTTGCTTTGGATCAACCTGTGTGTGAAATTTAGTTTGACATCACAGAGAGTCAGAAGACTATTCCTGGTTAAACATTACAGACAGTCAACAGGTAAAGAATTCAGCCCTGTCCCCTCAAACAAGACCAAACAGATGATGTAATGTGATTTGTCCGCAAAACAACGAGGCGCTGCCTTTTGTTTTGTATAAACCTCCCGTGGCCCTCTTCAGTGACAAATGCACTGCGCCGAAGGCAATTAGGATCACTTAGTGGCAGGAAAATGGAATTTACAGAGGATTAACAGGAGTGAGAGTCTGATTCACACACACAAACAGCTCAGATCCCTGATTCACACACACACACTTTGGCCTAGCGTCTTCAACGTCTCATAAAGCTCTACAATTTATGAAGTCTATGCACCTCCTAATGGCACACAAACCCAGTTTGGGGCCCAAAACAGTCATCCCAGTCTGTTTAGTCACAGCCCGCTGCGGCTGCCGTATCCGTGGAGATGGGCCTGTCACAGTTTATTTACGTGAGCACTGATCATGTGCTCATTATATCAGAGGTCTGCCGTGAGTAAAGAATGATGCAGATTTGTCTCAATCACATCAAGATACGAGGACATGAATCTAGACTAATAGCTGTTATTCCCATCTAGAGCCTTCTTTGTGTTCTTGGTTTAAAAACTCATTTAACTTGACTGTGGTTATATTGACGTATGTGTTTCTACAGCAAAATCTGCATATGAATATATGCAATTACACTTTAACCCATTCTAAATGTTATTATTTTGATTTATTTGTGTTTTCCAAGGCTGTTTTGATCTGCATACGAGCTTCTAGCATATGAACTACAATAATTTTTTTCCAGAAATTAATTGTGGCTGCACTGCTATTAAATTTATTTTAAATTATTTTAAAGGGGTCATCGGATGCCCATTTTCCACAAGTTGATATGATACTTTAGGGTCTTAATGAAAAGTCTATAACATACTTTGGTTAAAATTTCTCAATGGAAGTGTTTACACAACTGTTGTTGTTGTTTTAACAACACCCTTTTTATCTAGTCAAAATCAGCTGTTTTCAGCAAGCCGTTTTAGTCCATGTTCCTTTAAATGCTAATGAGCGCTGCTGACACCGCCCCTCTCTTACGTGGGGTGACGAGCCGTTCTCATGATACTGTTTACTTTAGCCGCGGAACTTGCTAACTAGCATGTTATTAGGAAAGGCGATTTGCAAAGATTCATAAAAGAACCTTATACTCACTTCTGTAGGTGAGGCTGGATCACGAACGATTCGCACAAACATAAGACCCATTTAGGTAGATCGGGGGCACATTCCCTTCAAAAACAAAGGTAATCCACTGCGTCTTCAGCGGCTCAGATGTCAGGAGTAAATTACGACTGCTATGTTCACTATTACATCCAACAACAAAACACCTCAATAGCTTAGGAGACATTCTTGTCTACATTTGCTCCGGCGGTAAAACAATGGCGGACTGATGACAGCTCACTCAGGGTGGGTCTAAGGTAAAATGTCAATCAACAATCGTGGGAGGGCCTGGGTCTGTGTGACGTCACACAGACAGGCATCTGAGAATGGCTTGATATGAGAAAGGGGAAATGATTTAACGAGATTAAAAAAAAACACTGGGTGGGTCGTTGTGTACACACACTGCCAACAGACATTTCAGTTCAAACAACTTGTAAAAAAGCATGTCACATCTGATGACCCCTTTAACTAGCCAATATTTTACCAAGACAATAATTATTTTCATACTGTGGCTTATAGTAAAATTCTATACAGTTTTGTCTAATCAAATAAAAAATAAAATATTAAAAAATACAAATAAATAATTTTAAAATGAATATTCCTTTTGAGAATTCCTAAAGATCACATTTAGGTGTTTTTATATCATTATATCATGTTTTTATATCAGTTTTTAAAGATTAACTTTTAGTAAGTATTAGATTACAACACAGGTAATCTAAATGGAAAAATAAGAGAAATAAGCATTCCAAATTAAAGGGTTAGTTCACCCAAAAATGAAAAGAGAAGAAAAGATAAAGTCATTTTTCTGTTTTCTTTGCGCACAGAAAGTATTCTCGTAGCTTCATAACATTATGGTTGAACCACTGATGTCACATGGACTATTTTAACAATGTCCTTACTACCTTTCTGGGCCTTGACTGTGTCAGATGCGTTGCTGTCTATGCAGGGTCAGAAAACTCTCAGATTTAAACAAAAATATCTTAATTTGTGTTCTGAAGATACGACTGCTATGTTCACTATTACATCCAACAACAAAACACCTCAATAGCTTAGGAGACATTCTTGTCTACATTTGCTCCGGCGGTAAAACAATGGCGGACTGATGACAGCTCACTCAGGGTGGGTCTAAGGTAAAATGTCAATCAACAATCGTGGGAGGGCCTGGGTCTGTGTGACGTCACACAGACAGGCATCTGAGAATGGCTTGATATGAGAAAGGGGAAATGATTTAACGAGATTAAAAAAAAACACTGGGTGGGTCGTTGTGTACACACACTGCCAACAGACATTTCAGTTCAAACAACTTGTAAAAAAGCATGTCACATCTGATGACCCCTTTAACTAGCCAATATTTTACCAAGACAATAATTATTTTCATACTGTGGCTTATAGTAAAATTCTATACAGTTTTGTCTAATCAAATAAAAAATAAAATATTAAAAAATACAAATAAATAATTTTAAAATGAATATTCCTTTTGAGAATTGCTAAAGATCACATTTAGGTGTTTTTATATCATTATATCATGTTTTTATATCAGTTTTTAAAGATTAACTTTTAGTAAGTATTAGATTACAACACAGGTAATCTAAATGGAAAAATAAGAGAAATAAGCATTCCAAATTAAAGGGTTAGTTCACCCAAAAATGAAAAGAGAAGAAAAGATAAAGTCATTTTTCTGTTTTCTTTGCGCACAGAAAGTATTCTCGTAGCTTCATAACATTATGGTTGAACCACTGATGTCACATGGACTATTTTAACAATGTCCTTACTACCTTTCTGGGCCTTGACTGTGTCAGATGCGTTGCTGTCTATGCAGGGTCAGAAAACTCTCAGATTTAAACAAAAATATCTTAATTTGTGTTCTGAAGATGAACGAAGGTCTTACAGGTTTGGAACGACATGAGGGTGAGTAATTAATAGGGCTGTGCGATATGGACAAAAAAAACCTCTCGCAATTTCTTTGATAAATTTTGCAATTTCAATTTTAATCACGATTTTGACGCACACAGACATGCTTTACAGTCATAAATGCATTCAGTGTGAATTTGAAACATATTTCCAAAAGAAAACCAATTAGAGCTTTATCAAAAAGCTGTAACATGTCTCTAGAACAGACATAAGGCAAAATAATCACTAAGTAAAGGTGTAACAAAATGTCTCTAGAATAGACATATGGCAGAAAAAAAAAATCCTGTGTCCAGAGATTTTTTTTGCCATGCATTGGTCATAGAGCTCTTTGTGGCGTTGCCTCAGGTGTTGAACTAGATTTGTTGCGCCAAGTTCACACGTACTCCGTCTGCAGTGCGTATACAGCCTATGTGTATGCGGTGCAGAAGCAGCACGGACTCATTTTACTTTCACACAGGACACGTTTGCAGTCCGCTCCTGATCCGCGGCTGTTTACCACAAACACAACATAGACTTTAATTATATGCATTTATGGTGTAATTACTAAATTTCCGTGCCAATCCATGTTATTTTTTACCGTGAATAATGCGCTGTCACTTTCAACGCATGCAGCACAGCAGAAATAGACTCCGTGCGGAAACGATCGCAGCATGACTGCTGCAGACGCACCGCTCCTGGAGCGCACTGCCGAAATGCAATCGCGTGCAGTGTGAACGCTCTGATCCGTTAACATGGGCGCGGAAAAAATACGCACCACAGACGGAGTGTGTGAACCTGGCGTTACGTTTGTATGGCTGCCCGGTCTGTTCTGTTCTTGTGCTCCATTTAGGCGCGCTGCATTCTGATTGTTTCGGATAGCGGGGGCGCAGAAAATCGTGCTATAAAGCGATTTAGAAATCGTGCACACTCAAATTGCAATTTTATGACGATTTCGATTAATCGCACCGCCCTAGTAATTGATGACAGAATTTTCATTTTTGGCCGAACTAACCCTTTAACTATCCAAAATCATTAAATATACATCCAAAATCAATCAATACAAATGATTTAACACAATCTCTACTACTGTCCAATAATCAGTATGATACAGCGCATTCCTAACATTAATAAAAATATGGCAATACATCACACAGTCCTTAAGTTTGCTATTCAAAAAGGGGTCTTGGCTGTCTTGATTTGATCAAAGGTTGCACTTAGCCTAATAAGGTTTTTTCATAAGTATTAAAATGATGTTACTGTACCTCTCTGGTGGTCAGTGCGTGCTCCCCTGCTAAAAGCAGCATGCTTAAGCCACCCATCTTATTGGGATCTATAAACACAGCAGAGGAAATAGATGTAAATAAATGCTGAACTATACAGTTAAACAACCACTGACTTAAAGACATAGTGTGGTGAAGGAATATGAACACTACCGTTCAATAGTTTTTAATTATTTTGTAAGAAATTTATATTTTTATTTAGCATAGATGCATAAAATTGATTAAAAGTGAGAGTAAATGCATTTATAATGTTAAAACTGATCTATTTTTGAAAAATTGTGTTCTTTTAGATTTTCTATTTATCAAGGAATTCTATAAAATAAAAAAAATCCACAAACCAAACCAAATCAGAATGTATTCTGAAGGATCATATGACTGTGAAGACTGGACTAATGGCTGCTGAAAATTCAGCTTTGCCATTACAGGAATAAATTACATTTTAAAATATATAAAAATAGAAACAGTTATTTTAAATTGTAATAATATTTCCCAATAGTTTTACTCTATTTTTGATCAAATAAATACAAACTTGGTGAGCATAAGAGACTTCTTTCATAAACGCAATCTTACCAAACCCAAACTTTAGAACAGTAGTGTATGTGTGGACACATTTAAGTGTTTGTTTTGTTCCTACCAGCCATGGCGAAGTTGAGCTGGGGTGTGCTGTCAGTTTTGGGCTGTTTTTTGGCAACTGAAGATTCCTTGCTAGGGTTGGTTGGAAGAGACCAGACTTTCTTGCGGGAGTTACTCACAGAGTGAGAAGGACTCTTTACTGGCTTGTTGGTGGCAGGACACCATTTGTAACCAGGATTAGCCTTCATGAACGCATCCTTATACTGTATAAAACAGAACATAATCAAATAAAATTATGTGAGTATAAGAGAGCATAAGTCTAAGTGGATGTCCATGACATGGGAATCCCACAAGGCTCAATTCTTGCACCGCTCTTGTTTAGCCTGTATATGCTCCCACTAAGTCAAAGAATGAGAAAGAACCAAATTGCCTATCACAGCTATACAGATGATACCCAGGTTTCCTTGCCTAATAGATTCAAGTCAGCTGTTGACATTTTCCTTCACCTTTGTAACTACTGATTTTCAATTTTTAAAAGTTTTTTCCTGCTGTTTTTCATGGGTTTAAAACTATGCCAAGTTAATTTTATGTTTGCTATCACATTTAATCACTATGACCACAAAAAAAAATGGTTACTGTGTATAGTCTGCCTCCCTTAGACTGATTTTTACCTCCTTTGCCATGTCTGTGTATTTCTGTTTTTCTTTGGGGTCTAGTACGGCCCACCAGTCCGCCAGGATCTTAGTGGCTCCCCGGTTGTCTAGTCGCGGATGCTCCTGCCGGACCAGTGAACGGTGTCGTTTGCAGAACAGCAGAAAGGCGTTCATGGGCCGGCGAGCCCGTTGTTCAGAGGAGTATTCCTCACTGTCATCTTCCATTCCGCCACACACTCCCTCCTTTGCTCCACTCTCTGCACATAACACCGGCTCCTGAGGAGAGAAGTGAGGAAAAAGTGGAAAGAGACATACAGAAACCTGGTGAATTTCAGTAGCAGTGGACAAAGCTAAACTAAGATTAAAACCAAAGCCTATTCACATTTTTGCTGCAATATTTTACCACAGTACAATATTAAAATGAAACAATATGGATGAAATTATGAAATTTTAACTATAAGGAAACTATAGAGGTAGTTAAATTTTTGTCCTTCCTCTGTAAAATAATTGACCAAAATGCAAGACATTCGCGTCTGCCACATGATTCCATACCCATAATTCAGAGTAGGGCTGGACGATATGGCCAAAATTTATATCACAATATATTTCTTAATTTCAGTCGATACGATATAATTCCGATATCGATATGAACACTATTAAAAAAGCCTCATAAAAACGGCCACAACAGATGTCTGTACCTACAAACTTATGAAAAATTAATTTGCCAATTCTATGAAACCTACTCCTATAAAACTATATAATATTTTAGGAAAAAATGGCGCAAATAAATAAATGTTCACCTTTTATTGGTATTTAGCCTTCATACAAACAAGAAATGTGAAATCACTGTCAAATAAATATCAGACTCTCCTTATTAATATTAATATTTTTTACTTCAAACTATAGGCTAACATACCAGTCAAAAGTTTTTGAACAGTAAGATTTTTAATGTCTTTTAAAGAATTATCTTCTGCTCACCAAAGCCTGCATTTATTTGATCCTAAATACAGCAAAAACGGTAACATTTTGAAATATTTTTACTATTTAAAATAACAAATAATTTATTCCTGTGATTTCAAAGCAGAGCTTTAGCATCATTACTCCAGTCACATGGCGGAAATGGAAGGTCTATTTCAATAGTTTTTATTTTAGCCCATCTAAAATAATACTACTGAACCACGATATGATACATGCTATTGGTATTTTTATATTGATTATTCTAATACTAAAAAAATGTTTGGGACAAATATCTGTCTATACAGCCGTCAATATATATTTCCATCCAAAAGTTTGGGGGTCATTAAGATTTTTATACAAATTCATTGCTTTATTCATCAAAGCAGCATTAAATTGATCAAAAGTGACAGTAAAGGCATTTCTAATATGTTACAAAACATTTCTATTTCAAATAATTTAATTTTATTTATAAAATACATTTTTTAAAAATCACGGTTTCCACAAAAAGCCGTGCAACCATTTTCAGAATTGCCATTAATAAGACATTTTTCTTGAGCACCAAATCAGCATATTAAAATCATTTCTGAAGGATCATGTGACACTGAACACTGGAAATCATTCAACAATGATGCTAAAAATTCAGCTTTGCCATCCCAGGAATAAATCATATTTAAAACATATTAAAATAGAACACATTTTTTACTTGTACTAACATTTCAAACGTTACCATTTTACTGTATTTTGATCAAATAAATGCAGCTTTGGTGAGAACTTTGGACCCCAAAATTTTTAACTGTATTGTAAATAACTGGAAAATGCATTTTAAATCTACTAAAAACTAATGTGTCAATGTTTAGAAGTACACCAGCATATGACATATGACAGCAGTTGACCTCAAAGCTAATACACATGAACTGAAACTGAATTTAAATCTCATGTCGTCTGTAGTCTTCAGGTCTTTGAAGAGCACCTGCTGTAATTAATGCATTAATTATTCACCCACATGACATGTTGTTCCAAACCCATAAGACCTTTGTTCATCTTCGGAACAACAAATTAAGAAAGGTAGTAGGACATTGTTAAAATAGTCCATGTGACATCAGTGGTTCAACCGTAATTTTATGAAGCTACTAGATTACTTTTTGCATGCAAAAAAAAACTAACAAAAATGAAGCATTTATTCAACAATTTCTTCTCTTCTGTGTCAGTTTTCTATGGGCGTTTACGACAGTACCACGATGCATGAAGTCGTTATTTTTGTTTTCTTTGCACACAAAAAGTAATCTAGTAGCTTCATAAAATTACTGTTGAACCATTTTAACAATGTCCTTACTACCTTTTGTGTTGCTATCTATGCAGGGGGCAGAAGGCTCTCAGATTTCATAAAAATATCTTAATTTGTGTTCCAAAGATGATCGGAGGTCTTGGGGGTTTGGAACGACATGAGGGTAATAGTAATAATAATAGATAGTAATTAATGACAGAATTGTCATTTTTGGCTGAACTAACCCTTTAA